TTTTATTGTTAGTGTTACGGGTCAATTTTAGCAGTCAGATCTCATGACAGTACACACGAGGCGGAGTTTGGCGATGGAGCTCAGCAGCCCCGGTAGAGCTCAGGGGCTGGCACGTGCCTATAAAGAGGTTGGCCACCTGGGAGAACCACCTAGGAATGGTTTCACCTTTTCCACACCATGATGATGTAGGAGAAAATCAGAATAGACAGCTGAGTAAACTGAGTCACTCGGCCATGTTTCCATGTGTATGTGCACCCCAACTTTTTACATTCTCTGGGGCTGCCGAAACACTCCCGGGAAGCCCAGGGCAGGGTACAAATTTGTAAGTTCACTCTTGCTACAAGGGAGGTTGCCGAGGTGGAGGGGGGAACAGGCGAACCGAAAGCTCAGGTTCCCGTCTTGTTGGGATCTGCTGTAGGACTTGCTTAAGTGTGGTCTGTGATCCGTGGGGTGACGGCTGCTGTTACCACCAAGTCACAGGAAGCAGTTCTGTCTGGGCCAGTAAATATTAATTAAATGATCCATGACTCCATTTACCTCTAGGGGAGGGGGGAAGGGTGCGCTCTCCCAGAGGTCCTGGAGGCCAGTGTGTGAACGGCCCGCGTGCTCCAGAGAAACTGACAATTCAAAGCTTCGCCCTTGGCTAGTCAAGCCTAATGGTCTTTGAAATCTGACAGCATCCAGGAAGGGGTGAGGCCATTCTAGGCAAAGGTGTGGAGGTATGACACCCCCTTCTCTCTCCTCCCCTCCATACCAGACACCCGCTCCTGGCGTTGGGATGGCCCAGTGTACAAGTGGATAGGAGTCAGAGACCAGCAGGACCCAGTAGGGAAGGACCCAATGTAATGGTCTTGGGTCTTAGGCACTGGGGAGCCATAGAAGGTTGTGGAGCAAGGTTTAGGATGTGGTCATATTTGTTCTGAAACAATCGCTACCAAGAGCTGGCTGTGGGAGGGCAGGTGAAGTGGGGATGTGGGGTCACAGCTGTCATCATGAATGGGTCCTTGACTGCACATGTGGAAGGGAGGAGGTGGTTGCAGGAGAATCAGCAAGGGCAGGACAAAGTGACTGATTAGATTTGGGCAGTGACAGAGAGGGAGCCATGGAGAGCAGCTGAGTGGATGACTCAGTCCTTCATTCAGCAGGTACTTTATTGAGCACCTGCTGTGTGCCCGAGACTGGTGGGAGGGGAGAGGCATCGAGCACACTTTTAATATGGCAGGTGGTGAAAGCAGGAGCAGGGTTAGGAGACAGACAACAGCTGCTTTATGGGCCTGTTTGTTAAGGTGACTCTGGAGCCATTTAGATCTGGAGGGGACAAGCTCTTCCAGAAGAAGGAAAAGCCAGGACCTGAGGCTTCAGGAGTGGGTCTGGAGAGTGAGAGGAGTAAGGACAGATGGGTCAGATGGAGACAGAGAAGACACGGTCTGACAGTGGTGGGGCCAGATGGCACAGGCCTGGTGGGCCATTGGAAGAGCTCTGGCCTCGCCCAAGTAAGTGGGAGCAGTGGAGGGTTTCGAGGGGAGAGTTGGCATGCTCTGAATGCACATCCGTGTGGTGGGGCCAGCTATTCTCACCCTATTTGCAGATGGGGAAACTGAGGCACAGAGTGGTGATGTAATTTGCCCAAAATCACACAGCTAGAAATAGTGGAGCTGGCAGTCAGACCCAGACAGACAGACTCCTGAGCCAGAGCTCCTGAAGTCACCAAAGGAAATGTTTCATTAGTCAAGGAGGCATGGAGCAGGGCTGGGATTCCTTCAGGAGGTCCCTGCCCTGGCACTGTGAAACCAGAGCAGGACATTCGGCCACCTCCTGCCACAATGCAGAACAGAGTTGCCAAACCTGCCTTGCCACCACCTACCCCTCCCCCAGGTTTCTAGAATATTCAGGGCTACATCCAGGAATGGTCCTATTCCAACTCCTCTCTCAGCAAATAGGGGCCGGGAACCCCCTGGGCAGGGTACACGGCACAACTGTCGTCCTGAACACCAGCGCGGTTCCCAGGAGGGCGCCCAGCACGTAGTCAGTGCTTTCCGAGGCCAGCTCTTATCACGGCCACTTTTGGAAGTAAAAGGTGGGGACTCTTCAAGTTACATGCTTTCATCCCTAAGAACCTCAGACCTTTGACATTGTTGAGAATCCTGAGCTCGATTGACCTTTCCTTAGAAAAGTCCACGTCTTTCCTTGGAAGACGGTTGGAGGTGGTCTCTGGCAACATGTAACCAGTTCCTTTTCAGCGACTGCTCAGCAGTTCCTGCTGCTGGACACGCCTGAAGTAAGTGCCCCCCCCCCCTCCTTGTGTCTCCGCGATAGGTCTATGAGATTCTGAAAAGAACGACGTGTACCAAAGCCAAGTACAGCATGGGTAAGGACATTTTTGGGGCCTGAGATCAGCGTTGGTTTCCGAGTGGTAATCTTGCCTCCGAATCATCTCCGTGGGAGGTGGGCAGCCGGTTTGGGGTTTTAAAAGGGGTTTTGATTTAAGCCTGCGTGACAGTTTCTGACAGGAGGACTGGGAAGCTGCAAGGAGAGGCGTTCCAGGGCCACGGGGCAGTTTTATGGCCTGACACTTTTAAACACAGAGGCATCCTTCACTTAGGCTTGAGGTGTTCGTGGACATGTGGACAGGCTCTCCCTGCAGGGTGGTCAGTTCTGGCTGGAGACAGCCAGCATTAGGGGGACCGAGGATTCTCGACCCTCTCCTGACTCTCACAGTCCAGCAGGAAGGTGCCGGGGCTCTGGCCGGGGGCCACAGCACACGCAGCTCTCTGGACCCCATTAGAAGCAGCAGCCGCTGACAAGCACATGGCTCAGAGGGGAAGGTTCCCACCCTGGGGGTCCCTGCAGCCCCTGCCAGGGCTTACTGAAAGCAGTGCCCCCTCACTAGGCACCACTGTGTGCAGACAGCCTGATTCTGGAAGCTGCCAGAGATAAAATATCCTCCTGATTAAAGTGTGCGTGGGAACCACCCCCACAGCTGCAGGCTGAGTGTGCTGAAGCCAGAACATGGCAGAGCAAAGCAGTACCATTTCCCAGCCTTCCTCTCCCCTTCTCCTCGAGCTGTTTTACGCAGGGCTGAGAGCTGTGCTAGCGGGTGCCCATCCCTCACGCTGCAGAAGCCTCTGAAATTACTAGGCTGTGGCTTACAGGGCACAGAGCAGATCAGGAAAGAGCCGGAACTGTGTGTCTAGGAGAGGGAATGTGGCTGCAGCAGGCTTCCTGGGGAGGCAGGAATGCTGTGGGAAGTTGAGGGCTCAGCGGTTGAATTCCTGGGGACTGGCCCAGGATGCAGGGGGAAGATGACCCCTCCAAAGCTCGGCTGGGCTTTTGTCCCCCATCAATATGGCTGTTGGTCAGTCACAGGGACACCCTTCCAGGCCTGAAATCTCTAGGCCCATGTCCCAAATCAATGGAAGCACAGGGTCACACCCAGGGATCAAGAGGAGCCCAAGAAACATGTCCCCATCAGCCCAGCCCAACCCAGATGGAGCAAAAACCTCTAGACTGGCTGAGTCCTGTTCCGAGTGACCGTGATGCAGTCCGGTGGGAAGGAAGGTCAAGTCGGGAGTTTGGGTCTTTGAAAGTGCTTCTTTAGGTCACTGCTGCTTGCAGAGCAAAGCCTTAGAAAGGTCACTAGAGGCAGGGAGGAAGCGTGTTCTAGTCCCAGGGCCAGGTCTTGTACCTCGGTTTCCCCACCGGGTCCCTGTAGCATCCCTTCCTGTGGAAACTTGTGTGGTTGCTGGGAAGGTTTGCAAAGAGCCCAGGGTCTGGGGGCTGCATGCCCAGAGCTGACTGCCCCCTCCACATCGTCCTGGGGGGTGGAGGGTCTCTGTGTTCCCACCAGTTTTCTGGGAGGGCTGGTGATGGAGCAGATAGATGGGGGTCCTGTTCTGCACCTCTGCTTCACATCGGCGCCTTGTCTGAGAGCTCTCCTGACCTGCAAATTCATCCATTCAACTTGCAGCAAGTATCGATGGATTCCTGCCCTCAGGGTTTATTTTCTAAGGGAAGGAAACAAATAATAAATAAACAAATAAACCAGAACATAGTCTTTCAGGATGGGGGTGATGGGGCAAGCTAGGACGATTTAGGAACCGTGACCAGAGAAGACCCTTCTGACGAGGTGACATTTGAGCAGAGGCCTGAAGAGAGTGAGAGGTGAACTTCCCAGATGGCAGGAGCAGCCTGTGCAGAGGCCTTGTGGGAGCACCGTGCTGGGAGCGTTTTAGGAACAGTAAGGAGGCCGCTGAGCGTGGATCAGACTCCGCGTCCATTTCCATTGCGGATGAATGTCTCACACATATGTGTGTTCCTGCCTCTCTGGTTTTGAATCTAAGTGTCCCTCAGGTCGCCTGACCATTCCAGATCACTGACCATTGAGATGGTCCATTTTTAAGGGTATTTCAGGATGTTTTTTTCCCACCGACATCAGGTGGAATCTCAGACGGTGGGCCTCCCGGGCCACTGTGAAAAATCTGACACTCTCACCACCTGGAAAACCCCTTTGGCCAGGCAGGGGGCTCCATGAGCAGCAAAGGGCTTCATGGAAGCTCCTCAGCCGAGCTGGTCCCCAGGATGTGTTTGGAGCAAGATCAGCTTCCCAGGAACCCTCTTCCCCATGCACAGCCCTGGCACTCCCTTCCCCCCTTCCAGCAGCATCTTGCGGGGCTGGGCCCCCCATCCACACCTGTTAGGAGGTGCAGGCGTGGTGTGTGTATCACGCGCCCAGTGCAGCGTCCCCAGGAGCACGGACAGCCGTGAGCCCCCGCCACCAGCGCCTTCTCCCCCAAACGCAGCTTTGATCCTTCCATGTCACTAATAGCCGGTGTATGAACAGGGCAAGGAGAGGGAAGAAAGAAGGACTCCGCCCTTCTAAGTAAAAGGCGGAAATGTGGGAAATACGGTAAGTGCGGGCCTCCTCTTTGGCTTTTCCAATCAACCTACAATCTAATTCCAAATTGTATGCGTGTTTCCTGGCACCATCAATTTTTCCATCCGTACATTTTCTCATGATTCGGCTTTTCTAACCACTCGAAATCCACCTTTCTGGTCTGCAGGCTTGCCCTGGAGCAGGTGGGGGTAGCTGGTGCATCGGAGGTTTGGGGGTGACGGAGTGAATCATGGCTGCTCCCACCTCCTTCCTCCGAGACAGAGCTTTCTCTCGGGGTTCCTGTGTCTTCCTACTTCTGCCAATCGAGCATGTTTTACCATCTCCTAGTCGGTAGATACATAACCCAGCTGCATCATACTCGGGGAGGAAACCCAGAACGGTGGCCGGGCTCGGTGCAGCCGGGGTCATTTCACTTTGAGAAAACTCCTGGTGATTGAGGCAGCCCTGTGACCGCTGTGACTTAAAATGTGGACCGGGAGACCTGTCTGGCTGATAATCCTCTCCTCTGTTTTTAAGGCATCACAAGCCTGCTGGCCAATGGCGTTTACTCGGCCGCGTACCCACTGCACGATGTAAGTAACCTTGACACACAGTGTATCTCTGCGTCATCTGACTCCACAAATCCCCACTGGCCACACACCCCAGGGAGCTCTAATTATCCTGTGGTCACAGCTTCCTGCTTGGCTCTCTCTGTAAATGTCAACTGTACACAGGCCTTCCCTGTTCCCTGTGTGTGGACAGAGAGGTTACGCACGGGGCCATCTTTTCTTGGTGAACAATCCCAGCGAAACAGGGACATTTGTGGCACTCTCCCTGGCTTTGTGTGCATCTCAGTCAGCTGGATCATGAAATGTTTTCCCTGGCTCAGGCTCTCCCACCCCCAGCCCACCCCAGGCCCTGGCAGAATGACCAGGGCTCTGTATGTATCTGTTTCTGTAGAGCAAGTGGCCGGCTTCCTGAGCTGACTCTCCAAATCCCACTGGTATCCCTCTGACAAATATAGCCCATGGCCATGGCTGTGTGCTGGCTTGGCTTGGGGTGGAGCGGGAGAGAGATGATTGTCTTCTCATTGTCTCTATGGGAACAGGGACTCAAGTTCAGCAGGGCACCGGCAAGGGGCCGTGGGGCCGAGCAGTGTGGGAACCCCAGACAGAGAATCTCTGGAACTTTCCAAATGTGCATGACTGCAAAGACGAGGAGCCAAGAAGCAGGAGAGAGAGGGGACAGGCCTGGGAGTCAGGAGACCCAGATTCCAGTCTTGGCCTCACTTTCTCGCTGGCCTTGCTCTTGCTGAGCCTCGATGTCCCCATGTGTAGGTCGGGGATAATTAAGGTGCCCTAATTGCCAAGGGAGCAGAGGGTGTCTCAGGGAATACAGCTAGGAAAGGGCTTTGAGCCAGAGACTCTGGATCAAACCAACGCAGGGGGCTGGGAGGGTGTAGGGCAGTCCACGTGAAGGAGGGTCCGGGGAGCCTCGTCCAGACCACTGACCCTGGAGGAAAGGTGCTCAGCTGACCTGCTGCCCCTCACCTCATCCCCTCCTTCATCAGGGCCTCCTCCTCACTGTAGGGCTGGCGATTTGGAGTTGACCGACCCAGCTTCTCCACCTTGTGCCTTCGCACATGCTGTTCCTTCTGCCTGCAGTGCCCTTCCTGCCACCCGCATCCTCCAGGCAGACAGGTGCATCCACACCACGCCTTCCTTTTTCTTTCCTCCCTGCATAGCTGATTTCTTCCTCCGGGCTCCTGATGCTCCCTGTCCTACAAAGACACCACTGTCCGGCCCCTTCTACTGTGTGTGTGTCATGTCACAGGAGCCCAGGCACTTGGCACTTACTAGGTGTTCAACAAATGTGATGTAGCTTTGGATGGGATTGAGCCAGGCTGCCCTGGCCAGTGACCTGCTGCTCTGTTTAGGTTTCCAGCGCAGGGCTCAGACCCCTGTTCCTGCCTCCTCCCCCAAAGCTCTTGTTCGGTCATTCAGCCCTACTCTGTGCAGATTCCACCTGGGTGCCAGGAATATGGCCCTGCCCAGCACAGTCCCAGGACCTTCAGAGCAGGCAGCTGAGAGCCACATGCGTGCTCCTGCTTGGCCTTTTATCTGGTAACCCCCACCAAGAGGTTGGGGCACAGAAGCTAAAATGTTTCAGGGCCTCCCTGACTGTTTTGAGTCAGCCCTTTAAGTCTTAAACGGAAAAGGGGAGAAATCAACGTTCGTAAGCACCTACTGTGTGTAGAACACTGTGTTTAGTAGAAACTTCATGTAATTTAGTCCGGTGCTGAATGGAAACTCAGAGAGGTTTAGTAACTTACTCCAGGTCACACAGCGCCTGCAGGGAGCTGGGGCCAAAAGCCATACCTGGTTGACACACCGCTGCTCCATCCCCCGGCTGCGTCACCACCTCTTCCTTCTCTGGAAGCCAAATGTCACTCCTCTTCTTGATCTTCACTACTGCGTTTGTCTTAAGAATTGATTCTGTCAACAGTTTAAACTGACTGGTACGAGACTCCCTAATCCACTGGGCCTATCGTCTCCAAGATCCACATACAGAAACTCCTCATTCGCAAATATGACTGTACCTTATGCAGCAATAGGGAAGCTATGACGTGGGATCTGCTCCCACTTTAAAGATGGGGAAACCGAGGCTTGAGGAGTTCAGGCAACTTGCCCAGGGGCACACTGCCAAGGACGGGTGGAGCCCAGAACCTCTGGACTGTGGGCTTCTGGCCTCTTTAGGGAATATGGAATTTTACACCCATAAATTGCCCGTACGACTGAAAGGTACCCACCCCATTAAGTACCCTGTGCACCCCATGCTCTTAAACAGAGAACCCTGAGTGCAGGATGTTCACACTGGCCTCTGGGTGGGCAGTAGCAGGCTGTTTGCTGCAGGGGACAGCTCTTGCTCTGCAGTGTTCTGTGTCCACCTGCCTCACCACTGAGTTGTCCCACAGCGCATGGCCTGAAGCATTCTCACACCCCTTCCAATCCCGCGCTACTGCATTCATTCCTTCATTCGTTCGTTCAACAAGAATATCTCTCAGGCAGGGTGCTGGGTGCCGTTGCCAACCAGATAACCCGATAGGATCGTGCATGAAGTGAGTCGTGTGCAGTGAGCAAGATCCTGAGGGAGTCTCCTGTAATTAGAGTGTATCAGATGTGCAGAAAGGACTTTGACATTTATGTTGGCTGCTCGGTGGCTTCTTGGCTTCCTCCCTGGTTGGCATCTTCATCTTCCCTCCTTGAGGCACCAGTGAATAGCCCTCTGTATAAACAAGGTGCTACTGGGATCGTGTGGCTCTCTCATCCATGAAACAGAACACCAGGAGGAGTTGGGCTTGGGTGGGTGAGGGTCCCCTGAAGACTTCGGAGGAGATGGGTTAAAGTGCTCTCAGGGTGTCTTCATTCAAAGGTCCCTGACACTGGGTTGCTTGCTTGGGTACATGGTCAAGTCCTCCCCTCCTGGCAAGGGGTGTCAGGGCCATTAAAGTTGCTGGTGAGTGGAGGGGGCACCAGGCAGTCCTTCAAGAGGCCCAGAGCTCTATCCACCCAGCTATTCTCAAGACCAGTTGGACAGGCCGGCCAGCCACGCCCAGGCCCCAGCAGAGCCTGTCCTGCTGCTCCGCCTTAGTTATTTATATCAGCCATTGGTGTTCTGGGATCACTTTTGACTTTTAGACCCTTTTCATCCTTTGGATATGGAAGCCTGGATCCAAGTCCTAAGTATGCCCTCAGGGAAGTCACTTTGCTTCTCTGAGCCTCAGTGTTCCCTGTAAAATGGGAGTGTTGAGCTCACAGATCTAGATGTAGTGACCATATAATTTATCGTCCTTCATGGAATGCTTAAGAATGAAAAGGGGGACACCACCTGGATGGGGCACTGGGACTGTCCCAGCAGAGTGGGACATATGCTTATTGGTACAATTCTTCCTGCCCCCAAAGGCCCGCTTTCTTTTGTGCTGTCAGCCCCCGGGAACTGGCCGCGGACCCCCTCCTGGAGCGCCTCTCTGTTTGAACGGGGAGGCAGCGGGCTGTCCTGGGGAGGGAGGGCTGGTCGGGCGGCCACAGGGACTTAGCACTTTTATTAGAAGAGGACCCCAGGGCGACCTTCATGCTCTGTGTGCTGTTTTGTCCCTGGATTATCTTAATTTGTGTCAACGAGGGCTGCCGGTGTGTATGTTTTAAAGGGTGAACAAGTTTGAGCTGCTCAAAAGCTCCACTGGATAGTAAGAGTTTTCCTTTTCTCTTCTGTAACAGGGAGACTACGACGGTGAAAATGTCGAGTTCAATGACAGAAAAGTAAGTCGAGGCAAAGCGGAGCAGAAGGCAGCTCTGGCGGGGCCGCGTGAGGCTGGGGAGGGCCTGGGCCGCAGCAGGGCTGGGCGTGGGCATTTGTGGTCACATCGCTTCCCTCCCACCTTTTCGGGAGACTCTGTGGTTGGTTTTCCCTTTTCTGAGTCTCAGAAGCGTCCTCGGCTGGTGACTGTCAACGTTCCCCTGCACGTTGTCCTTTCTCTACCGAGCCTGGGCGGGGTTAGGCCCCTGTGTCACCGGGAATCTGAGCCATGCCTGTGCCTCCAGCAAAAGTCTTTGCCGGCATTGGACTTAATCCCACACTGCTCCTGGGCGAATAAACATGGGAACCGCTGTGGCCAGCTGTTCAGAGAGCCCCTGCTCCCAGCACACACTGGGGAAGCCTGTCTGATGGTGTTCGGTCCCTGTGTTTCTCAAGTTTACCTGACCTGGAACCCTTTCAAATGGAGACGTTATTGAGCTAGTGTTCCGTGGAACACACCTTGGGAAACACAAAGGGGTCCTTTTATTCTTCCGTGGCTGTTCCTAACTTCCCCCCCACCTCCAACCCCTCGCTCCAGGCGAGGAATCTCTGCTGCTTCCACCCAGACTCTGCAGAAAGCCCTGCTCCCTACCATGCCCCCCACTGACCGTCTCCCCACCAGACCAGCTCCCCTCCTCCCCTCCACACTCAAGGTCCCTTCCTGCCACCCGGCACAAACACCCGATTCCAGCCTTGCTCCCCGACTTCCACGTTCATCTCTCTCCATCCCCCGAACAAACCCAGACCTCCTCACCGGGAGCAGCCCTCCCTGACGCCTGCCATCCTGCCTCCTGTCCCCGTGGCTGATCGTGCCACAGGTGGTGGGCCAAGACGCTTCCCTGAGAACCTCACAATGGTGGCCCCGTCCCAGATCCCGGGGGCAGGAACCTCTGTGTATGGAATGTTCTTTGGTTGAGGCTCCCTTCAGCCCCTGACCCGTGGTTTTAAATCTTTGGTACTTGATGCAACTTGCCTGCCCGGGAATCCGGCTGAAGATGCTATCTGATTTAGCACAAAAATTACATATTTGGTTATTTTTAGTGTAACATCTGGCATTCGTCTGAGACCCCGTGACTTGCAGAACTCCCCCATCCGATCCCATCAGAGAAGAACTATCCCTCCACAGCCTGCCCTGACCAACTCTGGCCTCAGAGCCCAGCCCCCCGTCCCTCTGCTCCCCTCTGCATTGGCCGATGCCTTTCCTCCACCTAAAAACGCGTCCTCCAAGGACACCAGCACCCCCTGTCTGGCTGAATTTGGTCCCCTGGGTCATAGCCCTCCTCCCGAGTCCCCCACAGTCCCTCCAGGCTCCGGCCACTTTTCTGATCTCAAGACTGCTTGGCCGATGGTCACATCAGTGCCAGGACTGTCTCACTCAGTTACTTATTCAAGAAATAGTTACTGAGCACTACTGTGTGCCACGCCCAACTAACACAACTCCAGGTTTGTCCAGGCCCAGCTGTGTGCCTAGCTGGAATGCTGCCACCCTCCCTCCAACCCCCATTTAATTTTATGTCCCAGCAACGGGTTCAAGGCCTGGCCCAAGGGAGTAATCAGATGGACGTGTGGGTGGGCGGGTGAATGAATTTTGTGGTGGACGGATGGACGGACAGATGTGTGGGTGGATGGTGGAAGGAAGGGAGGAAGGACCAGATAGGTGTTGGCTCTTAACTCAGAACCTTGGAGAACTTCTCATTCTCACGTGATGACTCCATAGTAAGTGTCCTGGTTCTGAGGATTCTGACAAAATTTGTGGCTTCTTCATTATTGCTCCTGTCGGTGGCAGGAGCCCAAGTGCCTGACCCTGGGTACCTCACAGGACAGAAAGGAAAGCACAGCCAAGGACATGTCAAGGACATTTTCCTATGCTGAACCAGGGGTGGAAGGTGCACACAGGAATGTTTGAACAAGAGGCAGGTTGGGCTGAGGCTGAGCCCAGTGTCACTGTCACCTGACCATGGGATCACAAGCATCTGGGGGTCCCTGGATGAGCGCCCCTTCCTCCAGGGCTGGGTGATTTCACATCTACACAGAACTGGACCCTGGTTGAATAAGGGGCTCACCAGACTCAGTTTGGATATTCTGGAAGGTGCTCTGGGACACGGTTCCTGGCTGCTCCTGTAGCTAGCTTGAGCCCGCTGGAGCAGAGGACAGACAGAACCCATAGAGATGGGCGTGCTGGGGGAGGGGATCTCTGCCAGGCGTGGGTTGAGGTCGGCTGCATCCCTGTGCTGCACCGGGAGCCATAGGGCCCAACCTGTCCTTCATTTACTCATGCGACAGTTACTTCCTGAAAACCTGTGATCTGCCTCAGGCCTTGTGCAAGGTGCTGAGGACGGGAAGGACCAGAAAAACCTGGTCATCCTGGTGTCTCCACTCTGGGGGGTTGGCAAGGAGCAAGTGCATGTACTGATTGAGGATGCGCCAGCGCCGTGTCAGGCCTGCCCCAACTACGGGGGTCCCAGCCAGGAGGTCCAGGCAGGGGAGATGCCCATGGGCTGAGCCAGATCCCCCCAAGACCCAGGTGCTGGAGGGCTCCTGGGTCACTGTGGCTGGAGCCTGCCCACCCAACACCCCGCACACAGCTCCCACACTCACTGAGCAAAGGTGCACCCTGGGGTTTCTTCCAGCCATAACAGTGAACTCTTAAGCTTGATTTCTGTACCTCGACAGAGCAGGACGATGGGTGGCTCTTCCTGCAGGAGGAGACGTCCCCTGAGGTCAAGCAGTTTATGTAAAAGGCCTGGGGTGGGCTTCCACCCACCATATCTATCAGCAGATGGGTCTGAGCCTGCTGGGGGCCAGCCCGAGGCAGGCAGTCCCGGGAGAGGACCCTCCTGAGGGTCATTTCAGTGCCTCCCCTCCCCTGGTGCAGGTCTTTGACCCTGTCTCAGTGTCTCTGTCTCTCTGTCTCTCTGTCCCTGTCTCTCTCTGTCTCTCCTCTCCCCCTCCCCTGCCACGCTTTCCCTCTGATGCACCTCCCCGCTTGTCTATGGTGTGAGTCAGTGACGCGATTCCAGGTGAGGGAGGGCTGGCCAGGCTAGTGATGGCTGCTTTGCTGCTCCAGAGGCACCATTCAACGTCATCCAGGGTTGCAGGCCTAGACCTCCCTGTCTGCACCATAAGACTGCAGCCTTCTCATCACTATCTGCCTGACTACACGTGCTGATACCTAACGAGCATTCTACCTTTTGCAAATCGCTCAGAAGGGGGAGGGGTCTTCTCAAGTCTGTCTACTAGGGGTTGGGGATAGGGCTCTTCCCAGGACTGTCCACTGGAGGCCCAGAAGAGGAAGGGTCTGCCCACGACCACGCAGCCGGGCTCCTCAGCAGAGCTAGCACCCCCAGACCCTCTCCCTTCTGGGACAGCCGGGGGAGGCTGAGCATCCAGGCGCCTCACCCCGGAAGCAGCGAGGGCCCACCCAGCAGCGGCCAGCCTTGCTCGTGTGCTTTCAACACCTGGAATCCTGCAAGTACATCACATTTGTGCCACTTTTAGAGGGACTTAAAATCTGAAGAAAACCACTCTTTGAAAGATCAGAGCAGGCAAAACCCAGGGGGTTGACAGCAAGGTTTGCTTCTAACTTATTAAGAATACATTTTGCTTTCTTTTACGTTATTTTCTTCCCCGCTTTTTGGAGGCAAATTCTGATGAAATACAGCACTTATATTCTCCTGGGTGTTATTTCTCAGAGCTGCAGAAGGAGCCCCAAAGAAATGGAGAAGTTCTCTAGAGGGTAATTCCTGTGGGCCCCCAACTCCCTGTTCTACAGAAGCTGGACCCTCCCAGCAAGCCTCTCACACATCTTTAATTTTCAAACACCTTGTTGAAGAAATCTTTGTGCATGGAAGGCCATCCCCCCCACTCTGGATTTTCCAAGTCTGTGGGAGAGAATGTCTTAGCCTGCTCGGGCTACCGTAAAGATCAAGGCACCCCCACTTCAGTTCCTGGTGAGGCCTCTCTTCTGGGTTTGCAGACGGCTGCCTTTTTGCTGTGTCCTCGCATGTGTGGATGGGCAAGTTCTGTGTCGCTTCCTCTTCTTATAAGGACACCAATCCTATTGGATCAGGTCCCCACTTTTAGGACTTCATTTCACCTTAATTACCTCCCTAAAGGCCCCATCTCCAATTAGTCTCACTGGGGTCTAGAATTTCAACATATGAATTGGGAGGGTGGGGGACACAAACGTTTAGTTCATAGCAGAGAGTGTTTGGTGTGGTGTTTTCATATTTCCATGAATCTGAGTATAGGAGACCCCCAAATTTCTTAATTGACCTGTTAAGGAAAGAGGACAGATGCTAAGCAGTAGTGCACAGAAAGACCAGGGGACCCAAGGTGAGTTCACACGGTGTCCCCACACCTGCCTCCAGCGCATTTCTTCTCTGACACATCAGAGAAGGGGTGGCTGTGGGAGGCAGTGGTCCCTTCCTGCTGCACCAAGACAGGAGGACTCTGACTGCTCCCATGTGAGACCCCTCACAAGGCAGAGCAGCCTGGCCAAGGGGCTGGTGCAGGACACTGGCATTTTGTCTCGCTCTGCAACGATGACCCACCTGTCTCTGCAGGTGGAGGCCCCGGGGCCTCCCTTCCTCCTCAGCTTTTCCACATTGGCAATTGCCCATCGTCCATTTCTGGGGCAAATCCAGCCCCTGCCAGCCCCTCTGACTCTCCTTGGGGTGGTCATGGGGCACAGAGTTCTTGTGGTGACCCAATTCCCTTCCACCCAGCCAGGTGGCCTGAGGCAAGTCACACACCCCTCTGACTGGCCATCCGGCTGTAAGGGAGGCTGGCAACTCCATAGCACCACGTGACAGCAGGAACATACCTTTTGCTTGCGAGTTTGGGTATCGGTGCGATGGGTGTGCCTGGGGTTGCTTCTCCTTCCTGTTTCTCAGTTGGGGTCTCTACAGAACACCAGCCCAGATGTCACACCAAAGGAGATGCTCGGACACACCAGGTTATGTCACTACCAAGATATCTCCCACCCATTTCCTGCCCTTGCGGGGTTGGGAGGGGTGATGGAGGCTTCGAAGGGTTCCTTCATCCCCCAGCCGTGACCTTGGTCTGAATTTGGGAGGTGGCTTTGCCCAGGGAACGGGTCTGAGCTGAGGAGGTCGGCAGCAGCCACCCCTCTGGCTGGTGTCCTGGGATAGCTGCCCCCCTGGGCTTTGTCTTACGGTTGGAGCAGCATCAGTGACCCACCCAGTGGGACTCTTTTTCAAGCCAGCAATCCTAACTCTAACCCTCGAGTCAGCCTCTTCCTCGAGACCTGCTCCACATCTTCCTGCAAGGCTCACAGTCCGCCGAACTTACTCCCATCCCTGCCCAAGGCCTGGGGGGTGATAGGGTGTGTGTCCATTTCGTTGACTCCACTACGCGTTGTTAATCAGACAGCCCATCTCAGGAGACAAAGCTCCAGCTGTCTGTGCATCCCATGAGACTTTTAAAAAATCTTCCCATTGGTGCTTCTATGCTTAAAACCCTGTGGCTTTGCACCCTTTGTAAAGAACAGGTTGGTGTCTGACTGGGACGATCAAAACACCTAAATGGGAAAGCCTTATAGTGTCAGGCCTTTTCAGATCGATTCCAGATCAAATCATGAAGATTTAGGATTCCATAATCTTCCAGAAGCTTCTTTCCCATCCCCACCTTTGTCTAAAAATGGAGGCTCACCCTTGCCACCATGCGGCCAACTCTCGATAAGCGTTTGTGGAATGAATGAGCAAGGTACGCATGCGCTGAGTCCCCAGCACCTGTGTCCCCAGAACACAGGTGCTGGGGACTCGGCCTCGGAGTGCTGCGTCTTCCCCAGCTTCTCACCCCTCCCTCTCTCCCAGCTCCTGCATGAAGAGTGGGCGAGATACGGCGTCTTCTACAAGTACCAGCCCATCGACCTGGTCAGGTAAGGGGGCCCGGGCGGGTAGACTCCCAGGCCAAGGCTGTGGGAAGGGAGTCCCTAGCTCGGTGTCAGTCGGATAAATGTCCCTGGGTGTTTCAACCACTCCACGTATTCCATGCCTGGGAACCTGTTTGAACTTGAAGAACTGGCGTGGGAGGACCTAGGTCCCTGCAGGACCAGCAGCCTGGGCCGGCCTTGGTTGAAGCAATTTATTCAAATTCGCTGGAAGAGGATGGACTTTTCTATCACATTCGCCACCTCATCCTGAACTCACGGCCTGGCCCAGTCTGGCTGGGCGGCTGCTGGGGTTTCCTGCATGTGGCCTTGAGGGGAAGGAAAGACCTGCCTCAAAATTTGTAAGACTTGTCCTCTCCCGAGAGGACCTCTGTCCCCACAAGGCAGGAAGGAGGGACGAACCAGATTGGGCGGTGTGTCCTGTGGGGACTTGCAGACTGGGGATCAGCCCATGGAAATTCATGCAAGCCACCAAGATGCCAAGCACGCTTAACGTGAGGAGAGATGGCTTCTCTCGAGTCCTCCATGCCAAGGTTCATTCCCGTCCTTACGCTCAACAGGACGTGGAATGGAGCCAGCAGCCTCCAGGGGAAATAAAATACATCTTTGCCCACCAGCGTGGGCCGTCACCAGCGGAAACGCTGCCACCTTCCCAGGGCACAAAAGAGAAGGGGGCGGGTGTAGGAAAAGCAGAGACGCCCCCAGCCTGCGGCGTGGCCCCGAGCCCCCTCTGCCATTTGAGCCGTTCCTTTCTGGGGAGGGGATGAGACACGTTTTCCCCGTGGTACCAGATGAGAGTGCGCGTTTCTCCGTCTGGCTTGCCCCGCCGTGTAGGAAGTATTTTGGGGAGAAGATCGGCCTGTACTTCGCCTGGCTGGGCGTGTACACCCAGATGCTCATCCCTGCCTCCATCGTCGGAGTCATCGTCTTCCTGTACGGATGCGCCACCATGGATGAAAACATCCCCAGGTAGGCGACAGCCCCTGCCCCGCCGATGACACCCCTTCCCGTGCAGCAGCCGCTTTCCCGCTGTCACGGCTGTGGGGTTTGTGAGGACTGTGGCCTCATCCCAGTTCCTATACACACGCTCAGCGCCCCAGGTAATCTCAAGCCAGGCCACAAGCTGTCGGGACAAAAGGCGCACGGTCCCAAGGGTTTAACAGCCGGGTAGGAGTGTGGGTGTCCTTTTTGGGCATGATCATCCGAGGATATGTTTTACGGTCAGATAAAGACACAAAATAAATACCCGGCCCGTTTTCATGCTCTGGAAGTTTTTGGGTTTTTTTTTTTTTTTTTAGTTTTCTTGTTCCTTTTCATTTTGGGTCATTGTGTGACAGGAAAATTCACTGTTTCGTCATGTGGTGAGGACACAGGACAGGTGAAGGTGCAGCTCCTTGGCGCAGCTGGCGCATGAGCCGTGCGGTAGATGCCACCTGCTCCCCCTGGCACCTGCCTGCCTCGTCCCGGGGCTTTGGCAAATTGGGCAGAAATGGCAACTTAAGGAAGGCTAGTGTCACTCAACACACCAGGGCTTTGAGTGTAGATCTGGTTTGCCTGCTGCGGTTCACCAGGGGTTATGTCTGGGAAGAAGGCCCAGACCCAGAGACAGCCCAGCCTCACCCAGGGGTGCAGCTCTCCCAGAAAGGCAGCTGAAACACAAGTCCAGTGGTATAAGTTTTAAGGACTCCGTCCTCCGTGTGCGGAGCCATCTGCAGTCCTTGCATAGTTGTTTCCTTGATTTGCTAATACCAAGCCAAAGATAATTGCAGTGTGCATTCAGGAGCACAGGCCTCTGACCTCTGCAGGGGCCCTATACCGATGGGCAGCAGGTGTTTTTCCAGTGCCTTCTGTGTGCAGGTCGCTCTGCAAGGGAACTGAGACCCTAGAGGTGAATTTGGGCTGGCCCTGCCTTGCAGGAGCTGCAGCCTCAGAAAAGTCCTAATACATCCATTCGGCTCTTTTTCTAATGACTCTGCCAAGTGTCTTTAAGTCTGAGCTATGACTTGGAAAATTCATCAACAGTTCCGGTCAGGAAAGAGCCAATGAGATCCTTAGTTAGCGAAGAAACTGGCTCTGAGCAACACAGAAAGACCATATCCGGTAAATTTGTGTTTAAATGATGTTTTAATACATGAATAACACCTAAAGTATTCCACCCACCAGAATCAGAGCTTTTAAAGGAATCTGGCTTAGCTCCCCTCCAGTGTTATTTTGGTCCTGGACAGGAGAAAGCTTGTCCCTGTGTTTGCTGATATGATATGAGGTCGCCACACTTGGGTTTGATTGTGGTCAGGATCAAAGCAGCCCAGACTTGGTGGCGCTGCAAAAGCCAGCTTTTGGCTGAAAGAGCTCAAAGCCACAGGGAAATGGCAAGTGAAAGGTGGGGAGCCTCCCCGTAAGCCCCTGGAGGAAGCCGGAGGGTCCTCCATCTTCCCTCCTCCTCCCCTCTGCTGGCCTGACATGTGGACCCCCAAGAAAGGGTGCCCAGATCCCTTGGGCCATGCCAGCTTGGGCTGCCTTCGGTCCATGGTCAGAAATGCAGATAGCAGTTAGGATTCAGCTGCTGCAGGGTGTGGATGTGACCAGTGCCCAGGCCTGTCTCAACCCCGATCCATGCCCCACTTGGTTCCCTGGACCAGCACAGGGGGCCTGTGCTCCCCTCGCCCTCCATCCAGTCCCCCACCAAGGTTGCAGGGCAGCCAGTGCCCAGCAGGGTGCCGCCCCACCCCACCCCTCCTGTCTTCTCTGAAGAACAGAACTTCCCGCTCTGGGTCTTTATTTTAGCTGAAGATGGAGGATGTTTTTAAAAGGGGAGAAAATGGGTTTTTGTCTGGCTGGTGGTGTTTGCACTTGAAGCCGAGGCTGGCAGGCAGAGGAGCTCGGACGAGCCGGGGGACTCATGGGCAGGAAGGCATGGGTATGCCCTGGCCCTCCCTGGCCCAAGTCCACCCCTCGGGGCTCCAGGCCCCTCACCCTAAGGGCAGGTGGTCACTGTGGCCCCAGGCCACATGCCGAGGATGGCATTTGGCCTTCCAGCCACCAGTTCCCTGGGTCATGCACAGCTGCAGATGTCCCACCCCCACACTGTCCCCTCTGCCTTCCCAGAGGGCCCTCAGAAGAGAAGAAGCTTAATGAAGGGCAAGGGACAGATCCCACAAGGCCAGCTCCTGGGCTTCCATTTAAAATCACTGCAGGGCCGGCCTGGTGGCGCACTGCTACAGTGCGCCGCTTGGG